GTTTAACTGGAGCCGAGTCCATTACGTCATTTAAAAGGGAATTTGAGAGACACTTGAAGGGTAAACGTGTATAATAAAAAGGTTTTGGGGAAAGAGCGAGTGAACGGGATTAGACCAAGGGAGGGAGGGAGGTTGATTCAGATATGATGTAACTTTCTCCTGTGCTAAATTTTCAGTGATCCATTGAAACATGGCCTTGTCTTGACTGACTCCCCCAGTGACAGACTGACTACCCCAATGGCAGCATAGACGTTGTGATTCCAAATTCCCGATGCGGAACTTGAACTCACAACCTCTGACTCCGAGGCTAGAGTGCTACCACTGAGCTGGGCTGACACTCCCAGCAGCACAATAGCACGGTGTCCACTTCACCGCTGGTTAGCTACCTTTGTGGGACCCATATGGGTACATAAACACTGTTGCTGACAGCAATGTCCCTTTAAATAGAGGCTTTAAGGGTAAGGCTGCCTCTGCTCTCAGCATTGAGCAATTAGAGGGATGGAAACACACCAAATTATTTAGTGTGTATCATAATCACCGCTCTGTGTCAGACACTGGAAAGAGTTCTAATTAATCCTAACACCTTTGGTTTGTTATTCTATCTGTTTATTTAAGATTCTGTTAAGTTTCCAAAGCTTGTGTTTGAGCAATGCGGTGAGTAATTGGTGTGGTTGTAGAGGTGCCTGTCACGCGATCAGAATCGGCAGCAGCAGAGATGAAGTCATTAATAGCCGAGGTGTCGTTCCTCAGTGCAAGTGGCACTCACTCAGCCTCTCCTCGCTGCAGGGCTCCATCATTGCTCCCTGACTCTTGTAGAGGAGAGACCCATCTGTTAGCAGTGGATTCTCGGAGCTCTGAGGCAGCTCACGCCCAGACTGTAAAATGAGAAGACGGAGGTTTATAAAGGGAAGATTGCTTATAATGTGGTCTGAACTGTAAAATGATAACCCTCGCTTTTGGTACAGCATCTATAGCTGCTAAAATGTATCATAAGATTGGTTTGGATGAAGAAAGACCTTCGGCCCATTTGATGTCATCAATCCAGAACCCCCCACCCCACCATCTTCCCATCGCAGCGTCAAGCTGTTTGTTAAATATGTCCCAGTGTCCACCCCCAACTCAACCAGTATTCAAGGCAACCCATTCCCATTTTAACGAATCACCCTCCGTGTAAATAAAATAAAAATAAAAAATCCTGATGTGTCTGTCCCGAAACTCTAAACCTGTGTCCTCTTGTTTTACTGTCTGAGTATATCCTAAAGATGGATGGATTGCTGTCAGGTGTAATGACTGTGTTTGCCTTACAAACACAGCAGCCAATCTGCACACAGCAAGGTCCCACAAACAGCCAGGAAAGTGAATGATGCCAGCGGAGATCGGACTCAAATATTACCCCCATGTCTGTTGAAGTGAAGCCCCAGACCTCTGTCCTTCCTCAATGCCACCACTGTGGACAAGTTTCTCTCAGGACACCAGGAGGAACCCTGAGGAACATGACAAAGCACGTTGGATCCATTGCTGTCTTCCACGGCCTCTGCTGTAGTCCATCAAGGAAGAGAGGGTCCATCAATGCCAACTGGTTGATGCCCAGGAGGGGCTTGGAGTGTGGATCAACATGTTTCAGACCCATGTTTGGACATTGATTCATTCAGTGGACAGAAACTACAGTAGTGTATTTACCGAAAGAAAATGCTATCGATTTTAATGACCAGCTTCCTGCTCTCTCCATTCTCTTTCAGAGCAGACAGAAATACAGAGGAGGGAGGGAGAGATGGAAGGATTCCCTATGTCTCTCTCTCCTGGCTAATTAGCCCCTTAAGACATCAGAAAACTCCCCAGATGTTTGAGAAGCAAGGGCAGCCGAGGATAGGATACGTTCGTCAGCACATTGCGTTCTGCTGATGGGAAATCCCTTCTTTTGTCTCTCTCTGATCACACTTGGAATCTTATCAGTTGTTTCCGTTTGTTCGTTCACACCGCGTGGGTTCAAGCCCCACGTCAGGGACTTCTGATCTGAGCTCACAGTCTAGGGCTGACGTAAGGTTAGCCCAGACGCCGCCGTCAGGAGAGAAGGAGTAAAATCGACGAAGAGAAAGAGTCCGAGGATGTTGGTTGGATTTTGACTGAAACGATTGCACACAACAGTGTCCCACAAACAGCCGTGGATTGAATAACCAAATTATTATTATTATTATTATTTTGAAGGGATTACTACCCTGGAAAACATGTGCTGGTTTCAGTTGGGGGAGGTGGGGGGTTTGAGGCAGATTCGCTCTGTGCAGGTGGTCGGAGAGGGTGTGATTGCAATTACACATTTGAGAGAGCATTGTGTTGTTCAGTCAAGTTGCGGATAATATATTCATCTATATGCAGATGGATGGTTGCCTTTGGCTGGTCACTCGCCGCGCGCGACAAACGTGATCGAGAAAGCAATTAGGACGCATCAGGATTTTTTGGGGGTTATTAATTTAAGTAAAATAAACACAGCTCTGGTTAGCTT